CAGGAATTCAGAGTCTAATGATGACCATGAAACCACTGTCAGGAAAAACTCATCGGGTTCACTATTGACCTTTAGAAAAGAAATCTGCCATCCCTACTTACCCTGTCTGATCAATATATGACTCCAGACAGGTGACTCTTAACTGCCCTCTGGGCAATTAGTGATGGGTAATAAAAGCTGGCCGAGCCAGCGATGTCCACATCCATGAATAAATTTAAAAAAAGTAACGACTGGGATTTCTTGTCTATTATCATAGAATCACACAATCATAGAATCCCTCCAGTGTGGAAACAGGCCCTTCGGCCCAACAAGTCCACACCGACTCTCACAGCATCCCACCTAGATCCATTCCCCTATAACCCACCTAATCTACACATCCCTGAACACTACTGGCAATTTAGCATGGCCAATCCACCTAACCTGCACATCTTTGGACTGTGGGAGGAAACCGGAGCACTTGGAGGAAACCCACGCAGACGCGGGGAGAACATGCAAGCTCCACGCAGACAGTTGCCCGAGGCTGGAATCGAACCCAGGTCTCTGGTGCTGTGAGGCAGCAGTGCTAACCACTGTGCCACTGTGCCACCATGCCACCCCCAGTCACAAATAATCTAACAATGATCTACAAAGAATTTGAAGGTCAAGAAAACGATAGAATGATTGCAAGTGACCCAGGCCTCATGTTTTCATGGATAATAATCCAGAATAATAATCTCCTTATTGAAAGGGAGGCGATGGCCTAGTGGTCTATTAAGAAACTATTATTCCAGGAACTCAACTAACGTTCTGGGGACCTGGGCTTGAGTCCCACCATGGCAGATAGTGGGATTTGAATTCAATAATACTCTAGAATTGAGAATCTACTGATGACCATTAAACCTTTGTCGATTATCAGAAAACCCCATCTGGTTCACTAATGTCCTTCAGGGAAGGAAATATGCCACCTGCTCTGGCCTACAGCTGACTCCAGACCCACAGCAATGTGGTTGACCCTCAACTGCTCTCTGAAATGGCCTATCAAGCTACTCAGTTCAATGGCAACTAGGGGAGGGCAATAAATGCTGGCCAGCTAGCTAGCAATGCCCATGTCCCGCGATTGATTTAAAAAAGTTAAAAATCCCCTTGTGTTTCAAATATTGTTATTACTACAGCTGATGATCAGTGATTAGCTAAGCTGAATCTTGGCACATGTCCCTTTTGATAATAAAGCTGCTTACAGGAACTTAATAATCTATGTAGAGTATTAAATTCTCACAATATTCTTGTATTGGACAAATACCTTATGCCAACAGTATTCCAATCTGTGTAAAAAGCATTACCTGGAACCAAATCATCGGAGAATTGGGTTAGTTAATTCCACTTTGGTTACAATAGTACTTCTGTTTTGATTGCTTAACCTGACAAACTTTGTATTTACCTCGACGTGCTAAGAAAACAAATGATTATTGAAGGATGTTGTTTAATATTCTTCTTTTCAACATGGGTAGATTGCCTTTGGTTCTTGAGTATTTAGGTACAAGAATACCGTGCAAGAAATATCAAACTTCAGCAACCAAAGCAATCATGCAAGGGGCAAACTCTTGAGCAAAGACAGAGGTTTTAAAAGGAGTGCTGGAGAGAAGAAGAGAGATGGAGAACTAAATTGGTCTGGAAAGGGAAATTCAGAGCTTGCAAGTTGAACAGCTGAAGGGGCAGTATCAACAAATGGAATACTCCCCATTTGCCTGGATGAGTGCAGCTCCAACAATACTCAAGAAGCTTGATATCATCAAAACAAGCCAGTTGACTAACACCTTCAACATTCAATCTCTTCAGTACCAATGCAGTGGCAGTAAGGTGTCCTGTCTACAAGATGTATTGCAACAACCTGCCGAGAGTCTTTGAACAGCGCCTGTGAAACATGTCAACTCTACCACCAAGAAGGTCAAGGGAAGCACAAGTTTGTGAACACCAACACCTGCATGTACCTCTTCAAGCCACAAACTATCCTGAATTGGAACTCTGCCATCATTCCTTTACCTCTGTTTCTGGGTGAAAAGCATGGAACTCCTTTCTTAACAGCACTGTGGGAGTAATTATACCATACAATCTCCACCAGCACCCTCTCAATGGCAATTAGTGTTGGGCAACAAATGCTAACCTGGACACCGATGCCTACATTCCATGAAAGAATAAAAACTGGGGCAGAGGAAATTGAGGATATAGAAGAGGACAAAATTGGAGGAATGCAAAGTCTGTTGGGTTTCAGAAGGTTAAAGAGATAAAGGTTACAGATAGTGAAGTGAAAAGTCTGGCCAGGAGAAAACTGGAGTAGTCATAGCTAGGTAAGAGTCACAAGGAAAGCAAGTGGAATGTTGGCCTTTATTTCAAAGGGAATAAGGGGAGGTCTGTAAAACTATGCAAAGCAATCGTCAGACCACAGCTGGGATACAGTGAACAGCTTTGGGCCTCTTATGTAAAGGAAAGATATCCTGGCATTGGGGGCAGTCCACAGAAAGTTCACCAAGTTGGTGCCAGGTTTGCGGGGATTGTTATATGAGGAGAAGTGGAGTAGTTTGAGCCTGCATTCATTGGCCTTTACAAGAACGAGAGACAACCTTATTGAAACATAAAAATTTCTTAGGGAGTTTTACAAGGTCGATATGGAAAGGCTGTTTCCCCTTGTGGGAGAGTTTAAGACCAGAGGGCATAACCTCAGAGTAAGGGATTGTCCATTTAAGACAAAAGATGAAAAGCAATTTCTTCTGAAAGTAGTGAATCTATGGATTTTTTTTGAGTAAATTGAAGACAGCAGTAGACTGATTTTTAATTAGTAAGGGAATGAAGGATTTGGGGAAAAGGGCAAGAAAGTAAGACGTTGAGAAGTAATGAGATCAGCCATGATCTCACTGGATAGCAGAGCAGATTACAAGGGCCGAATGGCCTATTTCTGCTCCTACGTCTCGTGGTTCAGTCTGGATTAGGATCTGTGACATAACATAACAGTGGAGAGAAAATGGGGTTGGGATCGCACCTCACAATCATGCAGGATACAGAGGTTGCAAACAGCCTGAGACAGTGGCTAAAGAGTGGGATGGAATTTGTGGGTAGAGAAAATTTCTGGTGGGGAGCTGAACTTAATGGTCTTCGCAATGTGCAATACAGATGGAAGGAGCTCAGCTGGGCACAAGACATGAAGACATCGTCACTCAAGAACATCTGAACAACCTGCAAGTTTTGGATCAACCTTTGATACCCAATTAGCTATTGGATACAACAGAGGAATTTTCTATGCTCAAGAAAACGAAATTCAAAGTGGTGAAGATTTGTCACCACAGTATGAATAATAAACTTAAAATTGTCAATCATTTCCCCAGCAATAAAGCATTTTTCTCAATGAGAACTTTGCATTCCATTACAGAGAGTTCAAGATACAACGTACGGTACCTTGAAGGAAATGCATGAATAAACAAAGGCAATCATTCGGAAAACATCCAAGGACAGAATATACTGGAGCCACAAAAATCAACCTTGCAAATGGTCGTTGTGCATACTTGCCCAGTGTTAGATTTTAACAATCTTAAAAAAGGTACGTGCAACGTTAACAGACAATACGCCAGCTTCCATGTCTATATATCACTGGTGATATAAACCAGTGGATCCTTCGACTCACCACAAACAGGGTTATGGAAGATCTGCTGATAATTATCTAGGATGGTTCCAGCATCCAGCGCACATTTGTCGCACACCAGATGTTATACTTTGCTGCAGAAGAAATGATCTTTAAATCAAATAAAAATTGTTCGCTTATCTGGAAATTTGGAAAAACCCTGCAACCAGCAATAAAATTCTGATGGATTTCAGCTGCAGTGTATTTAATAGAGGCTCCACCTTTGCAATGTCACCCAACTTATTGGGAGTAACGACAGGAAAGGTCTACCAGAATTCGCATTGAGATATCCCAACCCTCTGTCTGTAAGGAGATTTTTGAGATTCCAAATTTTAACTCTCCTCCAAACAGGGATATCCTTCTCAGTCGGGTGATTGAACCTGGGGATTCAATGAAGAACATCTTTGATTGTCTGTTTATGCCGTGCTGTTGTTGATACCAACATTGTCATATAGGAAGGGTAATTAACACATAATCTAACTTATCGTGGAGACTTGGAACCAACTGATCCTACATACCAATTAAATTGGGCATAAATATATGCACCATTCAGAAAATCTCAATGTTCACCAGAAACAATGAAATAATCTAACCAAAAGGTAATACAGAAAATATCCTCTTCGACTCAACATGAGGTAACTTGCAGCATTCTCCTTGGCTGTGCCCAACAGTACAGCAGAGAACAGAACTTTGTCCAGTCCTGCCTCTGTCCATTTGTATTTAGCTCTACATTTTTACAAACAAACCTGGCAACATGAAATACAATAACAATCACCATGAGCACCGGTTTCAGGGATGAATGAAATTGGAAAATCCAAAGGTTTTCCCTCAGAATAACTCAGTCTTAAAGTGTGTTTCCAATGGAGTTGCCAACGAGCATTTGGCAATTTGACAACCCTTTCTCACGTGTTGTGAAACCTTAGGCCTACAGTAAACAGGGAGTGTTTTTAGACATTGTGCTTCTTGTACCAATAGGTTATACACATCCACCACTGTCTTCCCCAAACAAGTACATTTCCCCAACACCACCACCACAATTTCAGAAGGCACCAACTGAAGCACACTCATCTGTCGGAGATCTAAACATCTACGTACTGTTTAAAGCACAGGAGCAAGCCATTCAGCCCAACTGATCTAGGCTAGTGCTGTTGATTGATATCAATTCCTTCTCACCTTTCCCTATCTCAGCCCACCAGTAGAGTTGGTAAAGGGTTAGCAAACTGAACAGTCTGTTTCTCTTCTGACTGACTGACTGAATATTTGCAATATTATATATACTATTAAACACTGCAATGTTATACAGAGATTACATTTCTCCATATGCTTACGTTCTTTTTCTTTCCCCTCACAGACTTACGGAGCTTGCCCTGAAACGCATCTATGCAATACAAATGAGCCCTTCTATCTGTATCCAGGAAAATGCTGGAATTATTTGAAGAAGGATTTTAGAATCAAAACTGGTGGGCTTACAAAAGTAAGTCTTAGAAATGAGTTTACATTTACAAAAATATTAAAACAAAAAGCAAGTACAACTTGTCTTCAATTACAAACTGACTTTCCAAGTCACCATCTGGCTAATTTCAGGTTGACACTTGGATTTTACAAATTCAGTAAGCTTTACTTGACAAAATTCTTGCCAGAAAAAAAAAAACACCAAAAGCAAAAACTGGATAAGAAGCAAAAAGAAATATACAAATTACATTATGGTCACACCCAGAGAACCAACACCTTGTGTCAACAGGGTACAACTCAGCCATTCAAATCAATTTTAAAAAAGAAAACATAATGATCTTAAAGGCAAACTAACACTGCGATTATTGCATGTCATATTTGGTGCTGTTATTCTTCTCAGAGCGTTATCGACATCTGTTTATCTAAGATTATGCATTTTAGATTAAAATTAGCTTTCCCACAACATTCTGGTTGCTTTCTTTCTCCGAAAACAAATAAGTTACGCCTACCTTGTGCTTCATAGTCAGTATGGTAGAGAGCAGACTGCCTGTCTTGCTGAGTTGAGGTCATGCTGAGCACTGACTGCAGTTGTGCCACATTCAACTGGGCTGTTAATTCACCATTCCGATCACCGATCTGCAAGAAGACATCCCAAGGTTGGAAACTTGCACAACACGAAAAGTTATGGACCAGTGGGAGGACTGAAAGTGAAGGAGACTGGAAAGAAAGTTGCCTGGGGGTGGGGGGGGGAAAGAGAGTAGAAGGGAGAGGAGTAAAGAGCAGGAAATTTACAAATTCCAAACCAGCTGCTCTGGCACAAGCAATGCAACAGAACTCAGCAAATTCAGAAGCTGTACTGTACAGCGATGTTTAATTGAGTTATCACTGCATTCCAGACCATCTCCTGTTTATTACTGTTTAATGGACCATCGATCCTGATTGCTGCATGGCAAATGAGACTTCACTTCTTCCATATTTCATTCACAGTACACCACCCTGCGGGAGCAAAGAAAGCCCCTACTATTGAAATAAGCTTTCTTGTTGAAGGGACACAGTACCATACCACATTCTCAAGCTGATATTGCACTAGGTACACAGCAAACATTGAAAGAACTGCATATTCACAAGGCACTCTGCTATGATTGGCACTGTGCTCTGCTTTCAGGAATTTGCTATGTACTTGAACATCATTTGGAGTCCTGAAGGCTAAATTTGGTTTGTTTGTTGGAATTAACCCTTACCCTGCTGAACAGCTGCAATAGTGTCACTCCAGGACTTCCGCATGCAAAATCTGGATTGACAATCCAATTTAGTACGGAGTGCTGGACACTTCCCTGCTGTACTGCCTTCCAGACTGGGCAGTGAACGAAGGCCATTTCCGGTGTATGCAAAATGTCCAGTAGCGCTAATCTGAACATGGGAGTTAAACCTGCCATTGTGGCAAATACTTACCCCTTCATCATTCTACATCACAAAAACAGTCAACCTGGGCATTACAGTCACATTGCTATTTGTGGGGAGTTTGCCGTGAGGAAATTAGTCTCTGTTTTCTACATTACAAAAGTGACTACATTTTTAAATAAGTGTTTCATTGGTTCTGAAGCACCTTGAGCTGCCCATTGATCATGACCATACATAGTTATTGCTTCCTGCATCATCTTTATACCATCCTCATCCAGAACAAACGTCAACCCAATCAAGAATTTGCAAAAGCAGTTTTATTCAATGTGCTCTCACTTTTCTTTTGAGTCTCCCCTCCCCCAGATACATACTCATTTTAATTTGTCATAAGAGCCTAAGATATAGGAGCAGATTCTGCTCCTTTCAGCCCAAGGAGTCTGCTCCGCCATTCGATCATGGCTGAGATGTTTCTCAACTCCATTCTCCTGCCTTCTCGCAAAACCTTTGATCCCCTTAATAATGAGGAACCTATCTCTGTCTGAAAGACACTCATTGACTTGGCCTCCACAGCCCTCTGCGGCAGTGGGTTCCGCAGATTCATCATCCTCTGGCTGAAGAAATTCCTCCTCATCTCCGTTCTAAAGAGTCGTCTCTTCACTCTGAGGCTGTGCTCTCAGGTTCTGATCTCTCCTAATAGTGGAAACATCTTCTCCATGTCCAATCTATCCAGGCCTCTCAGTACTCTAAGTTTCAATGAGAGCTCCCTCTCATCCTTCTAAACTCTATCGAGTACAGACCAAGAGTCTTCAACTGCTCCTCAAATGACAAGCCCTTCTAGCCCAGAATCATTCTTGTGAACCTCCTGTGGACACCCTCTAAGGCTAGCACGTCCTTCCTTAGATACAGGGCCTAAAAATGCTCACAATATCTTCTTTACTGTTTTGAAGCCAAGACATTTTCACCATATATCATCTGTAAAAATCTGCACCCCAACGTTTTGCAACATGCCTCTTATCTGCTTCCTTCCAGTCAAAAAAAAAAGGCAGCCTCACCAGTTTTTATTAACTACACTTGTCCCCTACTTGATTACACGCTACATAATTAATGATGCACACAGGAACATATCAATCAGGAGCAGGATGCGACCAAACAGCCCCTTGAGCCTGCTCTGCCATTCAATAACATCATGGCTTATCTGACTGTAACCTCAAATCCACATTCTTGCCTCATCCTGATATCCTTTCAGTCCCTTACTAACAAGGATCTATTTACCTCTGCCTTAAAAAGACTCAAGTACTCTGCTTCCTCCACCTTTTCAGGGACAGAGTTCCAAAGACTCAAGAGAAGGGTCTGTTTCCGCGCTGTATATCTCTTATGACTCTAAGATGACCATCCGAGAAAAATAAAAAAATGTCTGATCTCTGTTTAATAATAAAGTGTTGCCAATTTAAAACAATCACCCTCCGTTCTAAATTCTAAATAAGAGGAAACCTCATCTCCTCACCTACATCGCCAAGTTTCTTCAAGATCTTGTATGTTTCAATCAGGCTGCCTCTTGTTCTCCTAAACACTAACAGATACAAGCCTAGACTCTTCCTCATATTACAAATGTCAGATGGACTGGGCTTCTGAATTTTAGCCTCCTAGCATTTAGAAAGCACCTTTAAGATGGGATATCAACAACCACCTGTATTCAAATCACACTTTTAATGCAATGTGATAGAGTTACTTTAGAGAAGCTGCTAGCCAGATGTCCAATCTGGTGAAAGAGGTAGGTCTGATGGAGGAAAACGCAATAGAGACAGACAAAGGGGTGTAAGGTGGGGTATTACAAAGGGCACAGGCAACTGAAAGTACAACTACCATGGTGAAGACATTAAAATTGGAAAAGCACAAGGTCTGAATTGGAAGTGCACAGATATCGCAAAGGTTTGAGGGGCGAGAGGAGTGTGTGGAGATACCAAGGGGTACGGCCACTGAGGGATTTGAAAAGTCAGCAGCACCTCCCCAACAACACACCTTAGTTCCTGACAGATACGCGACCTCCTACATCCACAAGAACTGGTCCACCTTTTCCCAGACTTGTCAGGCCTGGAAGCTGTACCAACATTTGACTCGTTTCATCACTATGGGGATATATCCACTCCAAAATGGTCCCAGATAACAGAGACAGGAACCCTACAGGTGCCAGAGAAAATGGGCTTTGGACTCTGTCAATTTCATCAAACTAATAAATGGCCCAATGACAATAACTCTTACACCAAGCTTGATTAAAATGCAAAATGCTTGACAGTGCAGATGTGGGAGAGAACGTTTCCCCTTCTGGAGAATCAGGAGTTAGATGTCACTACTTATAAATCAGGGTTGCCATTTCAAACACAAGATGAAAATTTTCTCTGGGGGTCATAAATCTTTAAAATCCTGAAAATGTGGTGAATGCAGAATTCCTGAATATTTTCAAGAAAGAGGTGAAAGATTCTTATTAAGCAAGGGAGTGAAGTGTTATCAGAGATTGACAGGAATGTGGATTTGCGGTTACAATCAGATCAGCTATGATCTTGGTGAATGAAGCAGGCTTGAGGGGTTCAATAACCTTCTCCAACTCGTCATCTTCAGATGAAGCATTGATAGAACAGCAATGATCTAATTCGATGGCCAAGCACATTTAACGGGCTGGATAGCCAACACTGTTCGTATTTCTTACGAAACAAAAGTCTGGAGCAGAAAAACACGTGAACTATAACTGATTATTGTGCGTGTGCGTGCGCGTGTGCGCACACACACACAGACACACACACACAGAATGTTACAAAGATACAAAGCCAAGATTCATCAAATGCATTCATCACCTCTAAATGTGATGCTTGAATGCTTTTTGCAATTTACTGTGCTCCTGAGGTTCAAGCTGAGTAATACAGTCAAAGCTAATCTGTGTTATTTAATAATAACCTTACTTTGCTTTTTAGTTTTATTCTTGTTCACAAGCAGTATGATGTCCAGAAAAGTTTGCGTGAATAGCAAGGTATAAAGAGTTGGCTTTGAAGATTGGTATTTTAGTGTTTGGCTCTGCCTACAAAAGACTATAATCACAGGACTCGCAGAAAGTCAACATGCTTTATTTTGGTTCCAGGATCTTCACTATCATTTGTACTTTATGATTGCGGATGCAAACACTGTATCACTGACTTATCAGCAGCCATTTAACAGTCAAGACGCTTCCCTCCCTCCATCTCACCCCTTCAGCAAATATTAGGAGAAGGATATACAGTTGTCAAAGCTAATGCTGAACGTCATGCGAACTGATGTAAACTTGTTAACCTGGTTCTACCAGCTGCTAAGCTGTAAAAGTGTTCCATTGAACACTATCGCAAAACCAAGTGGAAATACATTAAAATAAATCAGACTTGCCATTGGGATAAGCATCAGTTTTGAATTGCTTTACCTATGCCCCCAAAAATGTGGATTAACCTTGTGCCAGGAACATAGTGCCGTATCTCAAGGCACCTCATTGCAGTGTTAGAAAGCGACATCTGACTCCAAACCATATAACGTGATCTTAGGACAGATAGCCAAAAGCTTGGTCAGAGAGATAGGTTTTAGGGAATGTCCTTAAGGAGGAAACAGAGGTAAAAGGTGGAAAAGGCTCAAGAGAACAAATTCCACCCCTGGGAGTCTCGGAAACTCATTAAGACTTCAAGACCACTGGACATGTCAAAGCGCGTTACAAACAATGAAATGCTTTTGAAGTGTAATTATTGCTGTAATCATAGGATCCCCACAGTGTGGAAGCAGGCCACTTGGCCCATCAAGTCCACTCAAACCCTTCAAACTCTTCACCCAGATGCAGCCCCCCACCTTATCCCTGTAACCCTGCAGTTACCATGGCTAATCCACCTGGTCTGCACATCCCTGGACACTATGGAGTACTTACCCCAGACATCTTTGGACTATGAGGAAACCAGAGCACCTGGCAGAAACCCACGCAGACATAGGGAGAATGTGCAAACTCCACACAGACAGTCACCCGAGGCTAGAATCGAACCAGGGTCCTTAGCACTGTGA